TTTTCCTAGTAAGACAATATGCTTAGTTTTCGAGATAAATATAGTCAAAGGCATTGCAAAGGTTTTAAACCCATCGTGCTTTACGCTATATACCAATAGGAACAAGAGCTTCTGATTGCCAACGAATATATTTAATACACTATACTGAAGATGACAGTTCTCAAGAGTTATTGAGAAACTGAAGAAATATGAATAACAAAGAATAAGAAAAAATGAAACGAAGAGTGTTGAAAGCCAGAATTTACCCTGACTAAAAAATCTATAAGATGTTGAATATGAACGTAACATATTTCGTCTCCAGATTACAATGACCCAAATAGAAATATTTAAGCATTTTATTTAGTACCCTTATAACTTTAAAACATTAAACTCTTGACTTCATGCCATAAACTTACAGGTACCATTTAACTTACAGATAATCATCAATAATAAATTATTATTTAAACTGTTTCATTTAGTCTAAAATATACCATAAAAATGTTGGTCATAGATATATTTTACTTATAATACACGAATGCATCCAGCAATTAACCAGCGTGCACAGCATGATGCTCTTCAAATTTACATCTGAAAGATAAATCATCTAACTAAAGTTAAATAGTTAAGTTTGCTGCACGCGTGCTGCAAGTGCACCAAACTGCTAAACAACTTCTTTGCAACATATTACATATTACTGTAGTCAAAGTTATAGATACTCGTATTCGTAATAGCAGATACTCGTGCACCTCTCTAAATGGCCTCAACTGCAAACAACTAAATCAAAGTATATTTTTCATTTTTATTTCCTAAGCCGAAGCGTGGCCCATTACTTTAATTTATATGTTGCATAAAACTTTCTTTGGCTCCACTTAGGATGCAGTTTCATTCAATGCCTTATATCTGCACACTATTTATTTGTAGCTGAATTACTTTACTTTCATTTATTTGAGCAGATGGTCATGAATTGCGAATCGATATGGTGAAAACCTCTGCACAGCAAGTGAAGGTAACGAAGTGTCGATGAATTTTTCAAATTTATTTTCAAGCCATCGAATTGAATTAAAAAAATTTAAGTTGAACCAATAAGAAATTACTAAGCCACATAAAGGATTAAGTATACCAATAACATAAACAATAATTTTATGCTTTTCAGACTAATAGCGAACCAACTAATAATAAGTAGGCTAATAACATGGTTGTTACTGTAGTAGAAGAAACAAGAATTGCAGCCAAAATATTATAATATAATTAAAATATCATATATAATATGATAATATTTTGACATATTATTATTATTTTTATTGTTAGGGGATGTAGCACTGCGACCGTCGGGTCTATTGTGCCCCCTTCTGGGGTTAGTGTAGGTCTATAAGCCCTGTTGCGTCAATAAAATGTAGTATAGAACCTACAGAGTTTACAGAGTTTTATAGTTTCTTCCGTAAGTATATATATTCCTAGGAGCCTATTTCGTATGTGCATTATGACATATAGTTTAAAGAAAATATAGTTTATTTTCAAGCTCTGGAAGAAATATGAATGTCACCTCTATTGTGATACCTAAAGATCTACTTGATAAAAAACTTATTGGTGTCAGCAATACCTTCCCATTTTTTTAGCAAAATGAACATCGCCCTATAGAATTTACAGAAAGTTTCGATATTAATTAATCGATTATATACGAGTAGTATAATGGAATGTTTAGAAAATATATGTATGAAATGTTGAAATGGTGTTTTCAATAAAAGATCTCTTTATATCAGTAGATATGTATTTATATATAGTCTGGGTATATATATTATCCAGACTATTCTTTTTATTATCGTCATTAATGATGTAAAAAAGTACATATATGAAATGCTTCAACAGTGTTTATAGAAGAAAGACTATTTTTATTAGTGGATATGTATATGGAATTAGTAATAAAATCAAGCAAAATATCAACTCAAGCTACTCTTTTGACTATCTTCATTAACTCCTTTTAAGACCTGAGCCTAACAATGAAAACACAGTGGCTAATCAGTTTATCAGGTTTTATTATTTTTCGAAGTACCTCCATAATGATCAATATATTTTTGCATTCGATTGAACCAATTTTCAAAAAAGTTTTACCACACTGATGTTGGTATTTCCCAAATCAGGGATTTGAGTGTCTCAACAACTTTATCGGGTGTAAAAAAAACATTTTTTCTTCATATTTAGGAATATAAAGAAATGATTGGATGCTCAAACGAGACCCATCAATTCAACGTTTTGAGTGCTCAAAAACTCTTTTGTTCGAGCTATTGTGTGGGAGTTCGCATTGTCGTGTTGGAGGATGGTCTTCCTGGTGGATTTTTTTATCAATTCTCCAAAGACTCTCGACGTTGTTCTAGTGGTACAATGAGACGTGACCGATTTATCTGAACAGAAATCATGCGACTACTTGCTTGTATTTTGTCCATCAGCGGACAACTTTTGCGGGTTCTGCTAATTTTAGAAGACTTAAACAGTAGGCTGTTGTTTTATTTCGGGCTCATAGGTGTAAATTCAAGAATTTTGATTTAATTATAGTACACTGTTTGCAATATTATTTTTTTTTCCTTTTGATGGCAAAAACTCTAATATTTGAACAAAATAAATATGGACTGCTCTGACCTAAATATATAAACTAATGGTCAATACTATATTATTTGATTTCCGAACTTTATAAATGATTACTCAATCATGTCGATAACAATCGCAAGGGATCAATTTAAGAAACAACATACCGCTAGGCATGTCTAAACAAAAATCTATTCAATTTATGGAGCACAGCAAATATTATTTAGCTGATTTGGAGTTTTTGTGTTTGAAAGAACGTAGCGAATACCCAGGACGCAAATGGAAACTAGTGCAGATTTGTTCAATTAATTACACTTGTAATATTCGTGTTTGCATTGATGCACATAAAATTTTATCAAAATCGAAATCTCAATAAATGCAATTAATTTGTGTAGAAAAAAACACGGGAGAGTTTAGCGCAAAGTATCAAAACGAATGTTTAACTTATAAATCAAACTGGCATATCCGATTAATTTTTTGAGTAAATTCGAAAACGAACAACAACAACAATATTTTTGGTTTAGTATTGTATTTGGTTAGCAATCAAAAAATTTATATCGGCCAACAGCTACAGTCGTCTCGGTCGCCTCCCACCGCCTTGGCCCGCCGCAAAATTTCCAATCAAACACAAGTGTAATCTGAGTCACAGTAAAATCAGCACAGAAATTGCTACATGACGGCGGTAATCATGATCGCGTTCAATATGTTGCAGCAGCAAAACTAACAGCAACAACAACAGCAACAAGAGTGCGCATGTGCCTCCACAAAAATTGATATTTGATTCGCTGGTTTGTACGGTTGGTCTAATACGAGTACGTACTCGTACTAACTAAAGTAACTAATCGCTGTGACTAAAGTGGCTCTTACGATGATGCAACTCCATGCTTAGCAATCAAGAAAGGCGATCAAATCAAAATAAATATTTTATGAAACAAAAATGCAATGAAAACTAAAAAAATAGAGAAAAATAGAGAAAAATAATCGAAAATACGAGTCTTCTCGTAAGATAAATTTAACTTAATGAATATGCGCGAGACTACAAAGTTCAAATCACGACATGAAATGAAATTGAAAACGAATCTCGAACAGCGAATGGCGAATTGCGATTAGCGAATTGCGGACTAGAGAAGGCGCTGCTGCACCACTTCAGCGATGAGGTGCAAGGCAATGCCTCCTAGTAAAAGCATTTCGTTTTGTTTCTGTAATGAGAACATTTCTACTAGCTACCGTGGTTAAGTAGCAGAACAGGTTGTTACACTACCCAAGATTAAATAAAATTTCTGTAACAGAGATGCTCCGATGCGATACATTGTATTGCTGTGTTGATGTTGATGTTGATGTTACTTAAATTGTTGATTGCTGTACCGATGCACGCTTCTGCTGGAACTACAATCTGCAACAACTGCAACTGTGGCAACATTTCTGGGTCACTGTGTTAAATTGCTGAGCTGTGTGCGCACACAAGTAGCAGTTAAAGTGCCGCTTTAAAATTAGTTTCAGTGATGAGTGACCATAAATCATTCGACAGCTTCAACCCGGGCCGGAGTGGAACCAAATGTGTTACGTTTAACGACTTTTCATGTACAACATGTAAGGATCAACAGCAGCTAAGACAGCAATAACAGCGGCAGTATAGCAGTAAAGCAGTGCAGTATTGCAGTACAGTAGTGCAGTATTGCAGTACAGTAGTGCAGTGCAGTAGTGCAGCACTAAAATTGCAAGTACACGTATGCAATAACAACGGTAATAAATTCATGCCACAATTTAACAATTATTTTTGTGGCTCCGCACTTGATTCGGCTTACAGTTCTGAAGTAAAACGGCAAAACAGTAGCACTTGAGCTGCATATTTTAGCAAAATATTTGCGGATGTTGGCAACTGCCAATAGTGAAAAATTTGTCTAAAGCGACGTGTGGCAGCAACAAAATAAATCTGTTTTAGCCATTTTACAAAGCCAACATTTAGTAAACATGCAAAAAAGATTACGATTACTCAATTTTCGCCTTAAGCATGGACAGCATTAAACAAAAAACAAAGCTCAAAATTTACAACACAATAAATGGTAATACGAGGTTTAGTTCGCATAGCTCGTCTACAAGTTGCAGATATCTCTGGTATTTCACTGAGCTGCCCACACATTTTCCTAATTTCTTTTAAATTATAATTTTTTTTTATAGTAGATTTACATGTTGACCGTGCTTGAAAACAGTTTCACTCAATACGCCAAATGTGCTTACAAGATATTTTGTAAATTAACATAAATCTTGACACGTCTGTGTCTCAGCTTAAGCCTATTAGTCGTAATTTATGCGCTTTTGAACATTTGCATAATTTCGCTAGAGAAAAAAAATTTATTTAAATTTTTAATTTCGTTTTTTCAATGAAGAAAGTTGGTAGTGTTTGACAAATTTATTTAAAATTTCCGAATTTAGTTGCTTACCTGTGTGGATTCTTTGATGTGCCTTGAGGTGTGAACTTTTGGTATAAACTTTTGTACAACCTGTAACAGAAATGTATATTATTAATATTAATTATATTATAAATTTGATTTTATATATAAACAGTATAACAGATATATGTATAACAGATACACAGATATATATGTATAACAGATATATATATAGTAATACTAATAAAATACTATTATAGAGTTCATTTGAACAAGAATTGACTACGTTATGGGTACCCAACCAAGCACAGCACTGCAACCAATACAGAAAATTGTTTATATAAACAGTATAACAGATATATATGTAACAGAAACACAGATATAGGTATATGTATAACAGATATATATGTAGTAATACTAATAAAATACTATTATAGACTTCATTTGATCAGGAATTGACTGCGTTATGGGCACCCAACCAAGCACAGCACTGCAACCAATACAGAAAACTGTAATAGTGTGGCATTTTTTTTCAAAAATGTTTAAGAAAAAACGGTAAAATTTTCAAAACATAGTTTAGTTATTTATTCCAAATAATAATATTTCACTTCGCACCTACAAAGCTTATTTTATAAAAATAAGAAAATACTACTAAGAATAAGAAGAAAAACCTTACTAAGCTCACTCAGAATAAACTCAAAGTAACTTGATAAAATTAAAAATAGTTGTTCGCATTCATAGACCCAGATCTCATTTGGTTTAATGATCCGTAGTATTAGCATACTTGTTTTTTTTGACTATCACATTATTGGCACGAGCAGATAAGGGGTGGATACTTTACTCCCTGTTATAAAGAATCTGCAGGCCATTCTATCTTTATGAGGTAAAATTTGTCAATGCATATGCAGTCAAGAAATCATGAATTAAGGAAAGTACAGATCTGTACTAGACCTCACTCGGTTCAATAAATCCTTAGGAAAATGTTGGGCTTGTTGCTTAACCATAACATAACATAAAACAAACACTATAGGCGCGTGTTTCCTTTTTGTTTCACAAAATCAGGAAGGATCGACGTCTTTTGATCCCAGCGTTGAAAAGCGGTAGTAAACCAAAGCATATTCTGTTAAGAAATCAGTGACTTATAAAAGTTCAGATGTTTAAACTTGAAAACCAGTAATTTTTGTTGCTTCCTCAAATGTTGCTTAGAGTCCTAATCATTGCATGGCATGATGTATTTCATGTTGTTCCGCGTTACTCTATTTTAACTCTATTTTACTATATTAAAATAAATATATGTAGAAATCACTCCTATTCATTTCAAAATATTTATATTGGCTATTTCTCAGAACTAACAATTTCTCAAGACATAATTTAAATAAATTTAAGTCAAACTTAAACAAGTTGTAAGTGTGCAAGAAACTTGAATAAATTCTGGTAGCAAAAAGCAATTTAGTTAATCTCAAGCCCTAGAGGTGTTGATGTAGCTGACTACTTATACGTAACACTTTTAGTATGAAGTGTTGAAAACTTTTCAAGATGATAGATGACAGCTAATCTATCTTGCCAACTATAATTGGTAACAACAGGCACTTCTAAAGTGCGAAACAAGTAGCCACTTGATGAAGACATAGCAATTTTCTTTGGAAATGAGAAAAAAAATTACTTTAAATGTGAAATACGTAAGTTAGAAGAAGTGGATTATGATAGTTAGTGTTGATTGGCATTTGATGGGTTCATTTATTAAAAAGTTAGATAAATGTATTTTTGATTTGCTACTTGTTAGAATAAATATGTACCTCAGTAGTTTACTAATCGTTTAAAAAATTTTATTTAATGTAGATATTAATATGTATAAATTTTATATATATACATATATATAAATTGTTTTCTCTATCATATAATTTTTTTATTAGCACTTTATTATAAAAAATATTTTTAATTACATATTGTTATAAATAATGTTCTAGCTATAGAGACAACCTGATCTAGAACCTATGAGTTTGATGAATGACGGTTGGTAAATAGAACATACGTTAAGTGATTATTGAGAGAATAATATGTAAGCTAAAGAGTGAATATTATACTCTTTTTTAATTTCGATAGAAGTAGCGCAGAAGCATGCAAAAGGTTAGAAAACTCGTAACTTCCCACCGATTGTCTGCTGTTTTAATAAATTCTACGATAATTTCAGAATATTGAAGACGATTGCAGAGCACTCTCTTAAATTATTAAGCTACCCCACATAATTTAGCCAAAGCTAGCAACAACAAAGGCAAATAAGGAAAGTAAAATCTCCTGCCTGACAAACGCGATTATAGATAAACCACTTTAATTAGCTGCATAAAGCAAACACCATTACTAATGATTAATCATCTAAGTTATCTGTGGTAAAATGCCTCATATGAGGCAAGAATCACTTATATGTTCAGAAATACGCCCTTTGTGATCATACCCTTTTCAAAACTTTATGATTTCATCGCTTTTTCTAAAAGATCAAAAATTAGAAGTCACCTTACAACCTAAATTTGAATTAAATGAAAAAATAAATGCATTTAATGAGGCATTACAAAAAAGTCTTAAACATTTTTTTGACATTACACACTTGTAATCATCACGTAAGGTTCATATGTTAACCATATTTACCTTTTTAAACATAAAAGTCCATAATATGCAGCATGCAACATGCAATAACCATGCAATAATCATGCAATCGAGCTTAAATGGTAACAAACTGTAGGTGTCAAACCAAATTTACTGTACAAAAAGATTTAAGTTTATTTTTTTTTTTGATAATTAAATATATTTAAAGTCATATATGAGAAAAGATATTTTTTAACTAGAAGAGGTGCAAATAATAATGTTAATTCATCAAAACACAATTTTATTTTTAATTAATTAATCAATTATTGATAAATACCTATGATTAGTGGTAAAATATTTAAAAATAATATTTGTTTTAAATTAAAATAAAGACAATAATAATCATTAAGAATTTCTGTTTTTAAAGGTTTCTGTGAAAATCTAACATTAAATAAAAACTTTAATTCAAAGTTTAACAAGGGCTTTTATCATTACTTAATTAAGCAAGAAATAAAAAAATATTGTTTTTATTAATTATATATAATTTTTGGACTACATTTTATACATCTGAATCATTGCCGTACTTGACTTGTTTGGTTTACGTTAGTTTATTTAAAAAATAGTTGTTAAACATTACTTTTTGTTGCTGTATACATGTTGTATATCAGTGACGATACGTACCCTATCTAGAAGGGTGTACGACCCTTCTACAATGTTGTTTTTAAATGAAATACATTAAAATAGATAATATGTTTTATTAATAAAAACTATATTACATTAGGCAAGAATATATTCACAATATAACATTTTACAATTAATTAACTAAATAACATATTAAATCAAATTATTAATTTATATATATTATATATATAACTTTAATATTATATCGTTATGGCATAAATACAATTTTTCTCATACTTCTCACAACATCAAAACAAAACAGTTTGTATTCCAAACCATACATATTTATGCAGTGATCAAGCAAAATCGAAAGCACTTGCAACGAATTAATGTGCGGTCAACTACTCCGCACACCTAGCGGCTGAAATTCTGGGGTGCTACTGCTAAAAGAGGAGAGATGAAGTGTGATAGAAATGTAGGGTGATATGAGCTGCAAATTTTAATGCACACTTAACCGCTTCGGTAAGTCAACATGTTGGATTTATATGCATGTAGTTCATATTCAAATAGTACAGAATAATTACTCATATATTTCTGACCACATAAATATAATATCTCATATATCTCATATTTTATACGAGAATATACGCACACTTTATAACTATAGAAGCTAAGAGAAGAAAATGGATTGAGTTTTCATAGACAATTCTATTTAAATGTTTTCACTGAAACTTTGATCTTTAATAATATATATATATCTATATGTACTAAATTTTATTAAATCTGGATGTAAAGATATTTGAATGAGTATCTCCGCAACTTAAAGCAGTCGTCACTGGTGTATATATATATCTAATATTATATATATCTATTCTTATATATATTTTATATATTTTACATATATATTATATATCTATTTTTGTAATTTTTATTTTTTACATTTATCTCAAGCTTAAATGAATAAAATTTTTGATGTTCTAACTTATTAAATAATAACTTATTATGATTTATTTAGTTTATTATATTATTTAAATATAATCCACAATTTTTGTGATAATTTTTTTTGTTTTTTAATTTTTAATCATTTTAGTCTGTCCAAAAAGTTTAAAGTCCACTTCAGATTCACTTTAAAATGAATATACAAATATCATGAAATGTGGCAATCTGTTCAGCATATTAATATTGTGGAAAATTCAATTATTCAATTTTCAAGTGAAATGCAATTTAATTTGCTTATTTGGCTAAAAGCTAACATGTGACTTCTGGCTGTCTTCTGCCTTCGTTCTAACAGAAACTAAAGATACTCGCACTGACCGCTGTCACATATGAGGTTTGCATATAAATTTTCGAAACGTGCTTAACCAGGCTTTTCTTTAGTAAACTTTTTTTTGTGTTAAAAAGAAAGAAATTTTTTAATTTTTTTCTTATATTTTTTTTTTGTTTAAACAAAAGAAAAAATAGTATTTAAATTCTATTAAGCAAAAGTATTGGAACAGGTTTCATAATTTCAGTTTGACAGTTTGAAAATTATTTTCTAATTTTTGTGTGTTTAGAATTTTAATGAAGTTGGCGCATAAAAAATTACAAAAAAAAAACAGTAAAAATTTATGAAGTTTGCACTTCGTCAATTGCAGCACTTCGAGTCACTTCAAGCTCAGATTTGGATCAGAATCCGTATATGGCGAGCGGTACATTTTTCATATGTAATTTTTTTAATAGTATTTCAGTGGTTATTAATTATTGGCTGAAATAAATTTACACGTACTGTGAAATACCGAAAATAATTAGCAGTTAAAATGTGACATTTAAGTCACTTACAAATTTCTGCAGATCAACTTGTTTTATAACAATTAATTTTTTATTTTCTTTCAAAAAAATTGTTTTAATAAAAGCTACCATATTTGTACTTCACCATGTTTATAAACAATTAATTGACAATTAACAGAGACCAAGCGCATAGACAAAGGTGACATTGTACCTGTTATGGAAGCATAAAAATAAGATTAATAACTCATTTGGGCCTCGTTACAGACTTTTTTATCTAAAAATCTTTTATGAATATTTATAAGTATTAGCTTTTTTTAAATTAAAATATTTTTTAATGTTAAAAATACAGTAAACTGTTATAAAGTCTTAATGTTTATTAAGTATTTCGCATTTTAACAAATCTAGTTTTAGATGATAAATAATAAATTTAAAAATTCCTATCATAAAAACAATAACTATAATCAAGGCCATAATATATTATGTAGTTAATATTATTAGAAACAATTTGTAACAAAATAAAATTAATGAATAAATTAGTTATTAGATTCCCAATATCCTATTATTCTTGTATAAAAACGTAGTGCTACCATCGAGAAGTAATTGTAAAAATCTAACTAACTCTTACTCTGGGTAGAAGACTCCTTGTGCACTTGAGTATATATAAAAATACAGTATATATTCTGATAATGCCCGTTTTGTTATTTTCAATATTTCCTAGTTTTAGAGTCACCAAATACATTTCAGAACATCGAAAAAAATTGTAACAGAAATATATTCGGATTTTGTCTAAGGCAACATATGGAATATAGTATGTTCAATCTTTTGAGTTAATTAAAACTATTACGTGTAGTAAGACGACGTTATTGTTAAACTTTTTTAACAAATAAAAAGGAGACAACTTACCATACTATTTATAATGTTTTTTCATATTTGTAACGTTCTTACTTATTAGTTCTTCTTTTGTTATCAAAGTATCGATAATTACTTTTATTACAATTTCTTCCTGGTCTTCTAAACATTCGGTGACTTTCAACTAAAACTTTGGAACGATTATAGTATTTGCTGTATTAACTTATATCTTGTCTCTCACTGATAGAGATGTATACTTCTTATAATCTTTAGCAAACTAACGAGCTCGTTGTGTTTATCTCTTCCCCTGAAAATCATGTAAAGGAGAGACAACTATGGTTTCTTTCGATTTCCGATTTGTATAATTAGATTCATAGTAAAATAGGTTCAGGATTCTTTATAAGCTATGCGTATATATTTTATATAGACTTCTTCCTCCTATAATTTATTCTTGCTCTCTACTTTGTGTCTTTATTTCTTTCATTAGTTCCTGCATCTTAGCCTAGATATGAATTAGACTCTACCCCTAATTTATTTTCTTATTTTGTGCAAGTACTTATTCACCATTTTATTTATTTATTATGTGCTCGATTTTCTCTATATTATTAAATATGTTATATGCAATTACAGTATATTCTCTCGTTTATTATATTAAATTTCATTTTTTCTCTGCGGGCAGGTGCTCATTTTTTAGTGATTAATTTATTTTGGGCAGTATTGAGACACAAAAAATGTATGACATCAACTTAAGGGATATTTGATAGTCTGAAATCAAATCAGTGGCGTCGCTAGGCGTCACCGATGTCGGCGACCGCCCGCAGGGGCCCGCAGGGGTCTCGCAAAAAGTTACCGACTGTGGATTCTAAGCACTTAATAAATATTTTGAACAATTTGGTTTGATAATGGCAATAACCATATTCGAAGTTTTCCCGAATGTTTATATAATAATCAGATTCATGTTCACAGTTCAGTATAGCTCCGACGGAAAGAAAGAAGCAAAGTTAAAATTGATTAAGACGTACTAGAAAAGTATGATGATCCAAGAGAGACTATCTCCAAAATTCTATAAACTGAAGCAAAAATAGCAGCTTAAATTATGATATAATTTAAAAAAAAATTGAGTGAAGCTAAAAGTAGGAAAATTCATTTATTTTAATTTGTGTTTATTTTAATTTGATTAGCAATAAAACTTTTAATCATGCTTTGTCGTATTAGTGAATGTAACTTATTTACTTTTACAACTGGGTTATAAAGGGGGCCTCGCAATTCTGATGTCGTCGACGTGCAGAGTTGGTCTAGCTCCGCCACTCAATCAAATACACAACCTCAGATATTTAAAAGAACCGTATAAGAATGTAGGGGTTTTTTCAAGAAAAGATTTTTGTTGGGTTAGCGGCTTTTTGACATATAGTACCTCAATAAATATTAATTTTAATATTACATCAAACATATACATATATCAAATATTATATAAAAAATTATATAAAAAATTAAATTAAACAGTAAATTAAAAATAAACTCAATATATTTAGATATTAAATACGATTTCTATATATGTAATTGGAGAAAGAATGTAGTTCTTCCTGAAATATATTAACATAAAAGCACGACTATGAAGTTATTAAAATATTAATGTTCTTGCTTAATAATTTACAAATTTAAATTTACAATTTAATATAAATATTAATGATGCAATAAAATCAATAATATACATTGATATTGCTTCAAAACCAGCGGAACGTACGAAAGACTTAAGCACCAAACTTCACATTTTCTCATATAAAAATATAAACATATACACGTAACTGCACCATTAAACAAATATTTTAAAATTATTTAAATACATTATTAAAGTAAACATACTTAATCGAAAAATTCTTTAAAAAATATTCAATTAATCACATTTTTTTAACTTATTAAATATTCAATTAAACATCTAAATATTTTGTATGTATACTTAATTTTAATTTTATAAAATATATTTAAAAATTTTAATAACCAATTTTCAATTTTAATGTTGAACCAAACTAATTTAAATTAACTTACCCACAAAATCACAATGATGTATTCGCCTCTTTTCCAGCTCCGGATTATTACGTCGATTATAACGCACAGTGCGAACCGTTGGTACAATTATATTAGCCAAATGCGCTGGTGTGACGCCACCGTTACCGCCTCTAATACTGCTAGCGCCAACATTGCTCGCCGTGTTATTAGTTACATTACTACTGCCAATCGCTGATGTACTACTCGTTCCGCCATTCGAGGTTAGTGTGGTCAGTGTACGCCCCGGACTTAAATGGTGCACTGAGTTATGCACCATAGCAGCAGCATTTGAGGGGTGTAACGTTATGATATTGGGACAAATTGTTGAAAGTGGATGACCCTGTTGTTGCAATTGTTGCTGCTGCTGTTGTTGTTGTTGTGCATAAGGAGGTGGCGGAGTTGTACGACGGTTTTGTGATTGTTGTTGTTGCTGTTGATGTTGTTGCTGTTGCTGTTGATTGCCAACTGCAACAACAGCTGCTTGTGCAGCGGCTGCTGCAGCAGCAACCATAGAACTACCCGGACTTCCGGGATCTGAGCTAGGCGGCGTTAGTGGCGGTACGAACATATGTCTTGTTGACATTGACGGTGCTGCAGGTGGGCATAATTGTGGATTTTGTTGTTGTTGTTGGCTTGAGTTTTGTAATGGCGGTGGTATTTGGTATTTAGGATGAAATGACTGCAAAAAATTATAAAAGTAATTACATTAAGTTATTAGTTTAGTATTAAATTATATAGTTCAGTATTAATTTTTTAATTTTATAAATTATTTTTATATCAATTGATATAAGCAATATGGTTAAGAAACATTGTTTTACTTTTGTTAATAATATTTTAGCAGCATGTATTTAAGTTATAGTATTTAAACAAAAATCAATATTATTCTGTTAAATATTTTCCTAGAAGTTATGATTCTTTTTAAACAATATCTCAAGATATTTTTTATTATATTTAGTTTTAATTTATTTCAATGTCTTAGCAATATTTGATAAAACTTTATTTAAGTAGTACAAGTTTATTTAATATTTTTTTTAAATATGTAATTTCTTTTTAAATAATTTTATCAGTTTTATAAGAAAATGCTAAACACATTTTAAAAATAGTTTTTCTTTTTATCTCTAATTATAATCTCAACATGTTGCAAGAAAAACAAAAACGCCACTTGAGCAACATTTCTACTCCACTTAAAGGCGTATTTCACTGCAACTCTTTTCTTTTCCAACGACTTACCTGACTACTATGCCAACTGTAACCATAGCCGACGCCAATATTATTGCTGCCACTATTGTTTGTTGTTGCATTTGGATTGGTGTTGCTGTTGTTGTTATTGTTGTTATTGCTTGAATTTGTCACTGTTAAGTTCGTTAATGTCGTTGATGTAGTTAATGTTGCACTTGTGCTTGCTATACCGCCATTAAGATAATTATTGCTACTATTTAAATGTTGTTGAGATGCATATTGTTGATAGGAAATGTTACTGCTATTATCACCATTGACAATGTTATTGCTGGCACTGTTGTTTTCCGCATTATGATTACTAGCCGCACTATTGCAACGTATCGATTGTATAGGACTATTACTATTGCTATTTAGTGTGCCAGCAATATGCTGCTGCTGTTGTTGTTGCTGCTGCTGTTGCTGATGTAATTGCAAAAGTGTTATGGTTTCATCATTACTGCTGTTGCCACCACCACCTCCACTGCCGGTATTACCGGCGCCACTACCAACCAAACTAGGATGATGTTGGTATAAATGTTGCTGATGTAGTTGATAATGCTGATAAGTATGATGTGTCTGTTGTTGATGTTGTTGCTGCTGCAAATGTGTATGCTGTTGATGTAGTGATGTTGGTTTCTCTGTTTTAATTTCCATAGGACTGAGCAACGGTGTCGAGAGTGTTTCGAGCAAAGTATCATCGATTGCTTCCATTTTGACTTGCGGCAATAATGTGTTGGCAGTTGGATTAGTTGCTAGCGAAACCTGCGCATTACTTGAATTTGAGCCTAACATTAAAGCATTTTCTGGATCAATATTTTGTATTGAGCTGGCAATATCTTCCCACAATGCCGGACGCTGGTATGGATCATCAATGTCAGAGTATGGATTGCAGAGAGCCTCTTTGTTTTTGGTTTCTAAAAAAATTTGAAATAAAAATACAATCATTTTCATTATTGATAATTGACATTTCAATTGAAATATTATTTTTAATATTAATATAAGAGTGAACTGAGTTAAAGAAATTCAAATTAAGAAATGTAGTTGTGTCAAATTATTTCCTCAGTTAATGTTTATCTAGAACGTGTGCGAGTTAGGCTAAGTTACATTCTAAATTAAGGAAATTCTAAGTTGTATCGATAATGTAGTGATGTGTCGATACGTGTTGATAAATGGCTAAATGTGTGCAGTGCAAAAAATTCCAAAAGATCTTCTATTTGGTTTAGCATCAACTTAGCCTAACTAGCACTTGTTAAGTATTTATAAAACTTTTTTATAAATATATTTTTATGCATTTTTTCCCTCTTTGTTAAGCTCAAGTTTATTCTATACTTCCAGAAATGGAAGATTAAAATTGACCATGACAAAATCAAGGCTATATTCATGACGCGAAAGAGAAGGCAGCATCCTCCAAGATTCAGTGTCGGTGTAACGGAGATACGGTAGGAGGAAAGCACAAAACATCTGGGGGTCACCTTTGACAAACGGTTCAATTGGTATAAATATATGAAATGCAAACGGAATAGCTGCTGTAAAATTTTACATCTGCTTAAACTGCTGTTTAATAATAATCGCTTCAATCTCAAAAATAGAAAGTCACTATAACTCAAATAATTAGGCCAGCACTACTGTACGAATGTGTTGCCTACATCGAAGCCTCAAATACTGTCATAAAGCAATTTAAGATTCCATGGTATATTAGAACAACAGACATACACAGAGATCTAAGGATCGACTCAGTGAAAAAATATATCAGGTACAGAGCCCTTATTCACAAAAGTTGATATTTAGTTTCCTTAGGACCCACAGGAAGATATGCTGACCTACGGTCTGCCAGCAATTAAAAGATAAATAAACGATATGAATTCCTGCATAGTTAAAGCCTAGTGTGGGGCAGGAATACACCCCCCCAGCACAAGTGCGCAATAGCACTAACTCAAGAAATCACAACAACAACAACAATTTAATATTAAATAACATACTACATGAAATGTCATATAACTTAAGTAATATGCGATATTACTATATCTCTTATATATATAAAACCCATAAATAGGCTATATATAATTTTACTAAATTTATATCGAAGGTTCGTAATTTTAACAAAAAGTCAGCCTGACCCTATATATCTAGTATCTGGTTTATTTAGTATGTATCACACTCTGATTGCTATGTCTTTTTAAAATGAAACCTATACTTCAGCCTATATACCATATATAACTCATGTCATAGTGTAGTATGTATGTACATATGTCAGCGATCTTCATTCGATTATAAATTATGTAATTATTTTGAATTTGACCTATAAATTTGAATACCGAAGTCGTTGCTCTAGACAAAGTAAGTAAATAAGCTCTTTTCAAACAGTAAAACCCAATTTCACTTCAAATAAATTGAATTTAATGTTTGTTTGCATAAAGAAGAAAAAAAACTAAATAATAATACTATTGATAATAATAATAATAATTTTTATTTGTTAAATTAATAAACAACATTAGTCTCGCAAGAGCAACACACTTGCGGGCTTAAAGCTGGCATTAAATCTACAAAATCTACAAAATCTCTTCAGATTTTCGGTATTAAATTTCACAGCTGAATAAATTATTTTCGAAAGTAAATGTTGTTGATTTAAGGAATTTGTTGTCGTCATGTAAACACATCAACTCTAAACAACACACTAAGTTTTAAAATACAATTCAAAAATCAAAAAAAAAGTATTAAATGTCAACAGCAAGTACATCTTTGATGAAAACAACAACAAGAACAACAATAACTACTACAACAACAAATCATATACAACATGAAAAACCTAAACTTACCAAATAAATATTCCTTTTCACTTGCCGCCGCATTTGTTGCTGCGTACGCCGCGTTGGCAACATCAAATGTTGTTGACGTGCCATCGTAAGCGGCGCAGCTGTAAGCTGAATTTGAATTGGAATTAGGTGAACTGGCGGGATTATCACTGGCTGTTGTATGTGTTTGTGTGGTGTTGAGTGGCGGTGGCGGGGGTTGTGTAAATGGCGTATGCTCATGATTGCTATTGTGATGTTGCAAATGATGCTGATGATGCTGTTGTTGATGCTGATGTTGTTGCTGGTGTTGATGTTGATGTTGCCAATGTTCCAATTGACTATTATTACTATTGCCATTATTATGATTGCTATGTGTGGATAATTGCTGCTGGAGATTGTGTTGCTGTTGCTGATGCTGTTGATGCAAATGGTGGTGATGATGATGGTGATGATGATGCAGATGGTGACTATTATGATGATTATGTGGCGTAGATAATACTTCAAGTTCAACGTCTGGTTCAATTTTATGTAAACGACCCATCAGCTCGTGCCGATAGTCCAATTCGGGAGACTAAAAATTGAAAAAAGAAAAAATTAATACTTAATGTAAAGTATATGGTAAAATTAAAAGTAAGTATTTATTTTTTTTTTAAATTAGCAAGGTATTAAAAATATTATTTGACTCATAACAAATTAGTGATTAAATAGTAATATGTTAAGCATTTTATAAAATAATTTGAATTGAGGTTTGTAATGAAAAACTTTAAATACTTAGGCCCGTATTTCAACCAAAACTTTCCAAGAAAAATATAAATTACTTTACCAGATTCATTGGGAATTGTAAAACTGAAGGGCGGCATCTAGCATTCAATGCGACTAGAAAATACAACAGTTAACAACAAATACAACAGTCAAATATGCCGCGAGAGACTAAATACCGAAAGCTACGTTTAATGAGACTATTTAAAAATAACTGGATCGTATGGATCCAGTTGGGATTCCCGAGAACAAAATTGAAGACAAAATTTGAAGAAAAGAAGCCTCTTCGCTACATGTATGTCTGGAACCATTCTGTATCTTGAAAGAAAATGAGATTTTGCAGCTCGGAATAAGGTAAGCCTTTACTGGATTTCGGGCCACAGGGGAGAGTTGGGAAATGAAAAAGCTCATATGCTAGCCAGAACTGCATCAAAAACTGCTTTTATAGGCCCTCAACACTTTTGTGAAATAAACTGGGCCAGTACAAAACAGATTATCAAGGAAGTAGAAAATCATATGCGGCTGGAGTACTGGGTAAACTTTCCAGGACTCAGACAAAGCAAAGCACTGATAACACCGTACTCCTAAAGACATTCTAAATTCTCAAAATGTAATTTAAGGTTGATAACGGTTTCTTACAGGTCATGTATGGTCTGAAATATCACTTTCATAAACTACAATTATCTGCTAATCGGAAATGCAGATTTATGCCTAGAAGATGAGGAAACGACCTTGCACATTCTTTGTGACTGTCCAGCTTTAATAACGCACAGAAGAAACCTGGTTTCATAAAGAATTTTTGTCACCAGAGCAGATTAAGAACTCTTCTCTAGATTTAGTTCTAGACTTTATTCACAAAGCTTTAAAAGGCTTTGTTTAATCAATAGTGAAACTGGTACAATAGGACTCTTCTGGCCGCAGTACCGGCTGTTGGGTAAGTTTCACGTCTACTCTTTAATAAATAAATAAATAAATGAATACATGTATGTCTGGAACCATTCTGTAACTTGAAAGAAAGTGAGATTTTGTCCGACATTGATGTATAAGCAAAATAAGTACCTGACTGAGCATCTCATATTGGTTGCAAAAGAAAGCTCGATGATGTAGGTTCAATTATAAAATTAATCAAGTAAGTTGCACTAGGTTGCAATGCAAAATCCAAATACATTTACTTGGATATTAACAAACTTCTGGACAGCGATTCTACTTAAGACAATATCACTAACATTTGTAATTTATTTGAAAGCTTCAAGGCTCTACAAACCTTGTTTCATATATATAATTAGACCAACTCTCAATCGACCCAAGTCAACTGTTTGTAGATAAAAACTTACCTACTACTACTACGTGTTTTCACATGTGTTCTCATATTAAACCGCTAATAGATGTGTGATCTAATTAGCTCCTAAATGATATTTCATATCAACTATATCACTTCTTATATATATGTCACTTCTATATGGTTGTGTACCGTTTAGCAAAGCTTCAAACACTATTATTCACCAGTTAGAAATTGCACAAAGTCAGGCTCTGAGAAGACTTTTCAAAGTACCATGGTACATTAGGACGAATGACATTTTCTGGGACCTCAAGATTGATCCCATCAAAAAATACATCAAGGATAGAGCCCTGAAATTTTTTGCGAAAACTGACAGACTTTCCAACACCGCGTTATCAAATCTCAAAATGGTTACAGGCTCCTCGGGGACGTATGCAGATCTGAGGTCAATTATTACTTATGAAGTGATAAACAATAATCTAGTCAAGGCATAAAGAGGGGTTTTGAAAATACCTCGAGTTAAGAAAGAGTAAAAGTGCTCAAGTGCACTGGCTCAAATAGCTTCAACATAATAATATATCTGAAATCTGTTGAAGCTATTAAGCTACCCTCAAATCTAGATTTGATGGTCTATATGATTGCTGAAATAAATTTAAATAGTATATATCTCAGTACAAACTACAGTATATCTTTTCTGATGTCAGGAAGCTGACAATTAGGAAGTACAAAAGTTTGTTCTTAAACTTGTATGGAGTAGAACATGTTTAACTCTTAATAAAGTGCCGGTCCAGAATATAATATATCTCTTGCGAAACTGCAATGGTAAACACTCATTCCATTTTGTTGTCATTTATATGTTAATTAATATTTGATTTATAAGTATTTATTATTTCTATTTATTTTTATAGAACGTAAACATTTTATTATATTATTTCATATTTGTTTTTATTTAAAAATTGAAATTAAGTTTTTATGAGTAGCATTGATATAAATATAAAGCTTATTAATAACTTAAAATAAAACAAAATATTTATTTTTACACATTATGACTTATTTTTAAACATTTCTCAATAAAATTCTTATAAAAAAATGTATTAAAAATATATAAAATTTCACACTTACGAAATGACACTTAAAAACTGTGGAGTTTAAAACTTCCTCATTTTTTAGCACTCAAAATAACTTTGCGTACGTAAAACGTATTTCAGTTATGACAGAGTGACGATAATA